GGACCGGAAGGTTTTTGGCTGGGGGCGATCACAGGCTTTACTTGGCTCGCGCCTCCTCTTGAATAGTTTACTGAAAATAGACCCAGCTCGTGGCGTGGTGGTTAAGGCGGCTGAATCCTAGATCTGAATACAGCGGTTCAAGTCCCGAAACCGGCAGCTTGAATAATATATCCAACTCGCTGGGAGTGTTGTTTATCCAGAATGTTGAAGGGATGGAAAGATGGGGGAGAAGGGATTGTGGAGTGCCCCATGGACGGAGTGCTTTCCCACTTTCTCTCTCTCTCTCTCTCCCTCTCTCTGGCAAGCACATGTACACCCTGGCAAATTAAAACAAACAAAAAGAAAAAACCGTTGGGGCCACCACGTGGTGTTGGAGGTTAAGGTGACCCTATATATAACTGTTGAGTCCAACACCTGGTGGTAGGAAAAAACATCACACCACACCTGTGCATGCCTATCTAAAATCCCAACATGAGATTGGAGGAGAAGGGATTGTGGCATGCTCCCCCATCCAGGAGATGATTCCCCACTTTCCCTGTCTCTCTTTGTCTCTCTCTGGTGAGCACATACCCTATAGCAATAATAATTATAAACTGAAAATGTTTTTTGAAGAATTATTATTATTTTAAAGTTATTTTTATTTAATTCCATTTATTATTACTTTTAATTTGACCAGAGAGAAACAGAGAATGAGAGAGACCAAGGGAAAGGGAGAAAGCAAGCTGCCAGGTCCAGGTCTTGAACCATCGGCCATGTGGGAATCCAGTACCTTTAACCACCATGCCACCTACTGGCCTCAGGAAAGTCTGGTCCCAAAATAATTCTTAAAGAATTATTTTGTTTAATTTTATTTATTTTAATTGGACCAGAGCGGGACAGAGTGAGAGAGAGAAAGTGAGAAAACAAGCTGCCAGGTCCAGGACTTGAACCACAGTTGACCATTTGGAAGCCCAGTGCCCTTAACCACCATGCTACCTACCAGCCCAAGCTGAAAGATTTAAAAGGCATTTTTAAATCCAGCCATCACCTCACTAGATGCTTTTAAGGAGATGGGGCAGAAGTTATTATTCTCATTTAACCTGTGAGAAAGTCTTCTTCCTTTTTTTAAAGAATTTTTTTATTTACTTATTTTTTTTCACATGAGTTTTGCCAGAGAAAGACAGAGAGAGAGAAAGGGAGAAAGCAAGCCACCAGGTACAGGACTCGAACTGTGGTCAGTCATGTGAGAATTTCAGAGCCTTAACCACCATGCCACCTACTGATCCCAGGAAAGTCTTCTTAGAGGAAATTCAGATGGGCTTTTACATTAATAGAAGAGAAGGGGATGGGTAGTGGCACTGGACTCCTACATGGGCAACAGCGGTTCAAATCCCAGACCTGGTGGCTTGATGCGGGGCGTGTGTGCTTGCATGCCCAAAATCCCAAGAGGACATGGAGGAGAAGGGATTGTGGAGTGGCCATCCCCCCATGGGATTTCTCTCTTTCTCTCTCTGACTCTCCAGCAAGCGCAAGCACCCTATAGCAAAAATCTCTTGGCACCAGCAGATAACATAATGGTTACATTGCTGGACTCTCATGTAATCCACTGCAGTTTGAGTCCCAGACCTGACTGCTTCAAACTCACACCAGGTACGTGTTCATAAGTACCCAAGATCCCTAGAGGAGAATGGAGGAGAAGGGATCCCCACTGGGTGGGGGGTGATTTCTCACTTTCTGTCTCTCTCTCTCTCTCTCCCTCCAGCGAGTGCACACCCCCTATAGCAAAACCTCTCTCTTAAAAGAAGTTTGTCTTGGGGACCAGCAGGTGGCATGGTGGTTAAGGTGCTGGACACTCCCACATGGCCAAACACGGTTTGAATCCAGGACCTGGCGGCTCGCTTTCTCACGTTCCCTCTCTCTCTCTCACTCTGTCCCTCTTGGTCAAATTAAAATAAATAAACAAAATTAAATAAAATATTTTTTTTAAAAAAAAAGAAAGAAAGAAAGTCCAGGCATTGGAGTCTCCAGCCTAGCAAAGATGTGAGAAGCAGGGATGCTGGGTAAAAAAAAATGGGTGGTGGTGGGGCATGAGCATGACTAAAGAAATGGCGCATGGGGTGGAAAAGTGTGGAGGTCCTTGAGCGCTGGCTTGATCCAATGAGCTGGTCGCAGGGTGAGACTGGGCAAAATCGGTGTCTCAGGGTTTTCCTAAGTGGACCATTGTTTGAAAAGACCAAAGACAGGGAGAAAACTGTTAAGTGGTTGCAAGTACTCCAGAAAGGGTCTGGGGAATGGAAAGGAAGTTGAATAGCTTGTTTGTTTCCTATAGGGTGTGTGCACTCACCTGAGAGCGAGAGAGAAAGTGAGAAATCATCCCCTCGGGGGAATGGTCACGCTGCAATCCCTTTTCCTCCATTCTCTTCTTGGGATTTTGGTCACACGTGCACAGGAGCCCAGCATAATTTTCAAGCCACTGAGTTAGGGACTCAAACCAGGAAGTTGGCTATGTGGGATCCAGGCTCCTTAACACTATGCCAATGTCTGACCTGAAAATATATTTCTAAAGTTTCTTTCTTTGTTTCTTCTATCAGTGAGAGAGTCAGAGACAGAGAGAGACAAAGACTGGCACCCACAACAGGATTGCTGTGCTGGGATCTGCTCACAACCCTGCCAGCCCTAATTATAGGCACGAAGTATACTCAGGTGGCTGGTCGCAAACCTGGAACTTTCCACAGGGCTCCCAACCTTGGTGGCTGTGGTGTTTTACCAATACACCACTGTCCATTTCCCAAAGTGAGATTTTTAAACAAAAAACTTATTTTGAAATAATTATAGATTTCCAGGGCATTGGGGAAAATGATTAGGGAGGTTCCATGGACCCTTCCATTCAGTTTTCCCTAGTGGTAAGACTTTACGTAACTATACTACAATATGAAAATCAGGAACTTGGCATTGGTACCATCTACAGAGCTCATTTAGGAGTTCACTAAACAGGCAAGATTTGGAAAGGCTAACTGATAGCGTTTGAATTGGACCTGCTTAGCTGGAGAGGGAATAGGTACGCGCTCAGGGCTTCCCATCCCTGCAGCCCAGATGAGGTCCAAGAACCAATGTCTGGGATTAGCCTCTCCTAGCAGTCCAGGGCCTCCAGCTCTTTTTTTTTTTTAATTAAACTTTATTTATTTAACTTTATTCATTTAAATTTGACCAGAGAGGGGCAGAGAGAGAGAGAGAGAAAGCAAGAAAGCAAACTGACTCAAACCACTGCCCTTAACCACACCAACTGCCGGCCTCAGGGCCTCTAACTCTTGGAAGGACCCTCTGAGGAGAGAGGCTGCTGCAAAGGGTAGATGACAGGCAGACACTGGGGCCAGCCGATGGTGTAATGGTTAAGGCACTCGACTCCCACATGGCCCACTGCGGCTCAAGTCCCAGACCTATCTCTCTGCCTCCTTCTGTCTCCCCAGGGAGCGCACGCGCCCTATAGCAAAAATCTTTCAAAAAAAAAAAAAAAAGAAAAAAGAAAAATGACAGACAGACACACCCGCAATCTCGGATGAGGAAACGGATCAGTCAGAGAGCAAATGGAGCGGTCTCATTTCCTTCCCTTTTGTCCTTTGGCAAGGGTGGGGGGGGACACGACTGGGCTGGCATTAACTCAGCTGAGGGCAGTGGTGGGTGAGGAGGGTAAGAAGGGGATGTCCAGAGCATCCTGGGGCTTTTCCTCCCTAACTTGTAGGCCCAGCAGTGAACCTCTTTCTCCACCACCTAGAGACTAAGCTGTTCTTTAAGGAATTTCATTCATGGGGGCTGGCAGGTGGCACAGTGGTTAAAGTCACTGAATTCCCACTTAACTCACCACAGTTCAAGTCCCAGACCGGGCAGCTTGCTTTCTCACTTTCCCTTTCTCTCTCTCTGTTTCTGTCTGGTCAAAATAAATAATAATAATAACAAATGGAATTAAATAAGTAAGTAGTTCTTTAATAAAATGGAATTTCATTCACCAGACATTTGGATGTGACATTTATTGGCCCAGGAGCTTTGTATTCCACTTAGTCTCCTCACATCCCCATCCCGCAGATTGCTATAGGAAGTTGAAGTGATTTCTCAAGGTCACGTAGGTGGAGTGTGACCCTGGGACAAAACAGGTCTGTCTGACTGCATCCTAAGGATGTGGAGTAAAGAGAAATTAGAGATTTTGTATAGTCTAGGCTATGACATTCTTTCACATTGTGAGTTCAGTTGATTTTTAAAAATTATTTATTTTATTTTATTTATTAATGATTAGCATTCAATTTGACCAGAGAGAGAAAGAGAGAAAGCAAGCCACCAGGTCCAGGACTTAAACCATGGTCAGCCACATGGGGGGCCAGTGCCTTAACCATCATGCCACCTGCTGGCCCCCTTAAGTTTAACTCTTTCATGACAGAAAAAGAGAAACAAGGTCTTATGCCAAGCCTTCCCTGTCAGCCAAGACCCTGAGCACATGCTCGGCGTGTATAGGTCAACTGGGAAACTGAACCCGCAGTCTTCCTATGGATACAGCATTGCCTGAGCGGTGCCATCAAGCCAGCCCAGCTGATCTCTCTAGTGTCCTTTAAAATACGTGATGCTATGAAATTAATTTTTAAAAGAATTATTTAATTTAATTTATTCAGTCATTTATTTTAATTTGACCAGAGAGATACACACAGGGAGGAGAGGGAGGAGAGTGAGAAAGCAAACCTCCAGGTCCAGGACTTGAACCATGGTCAACCATGTGGGAGTGTCCAGTGCCTTAACCACCAAGCCACCTGCCAGTCCCCATGAAATTAATTTTTTAAACAAGAAAAAGGAAAACAAAATAAACTCAAATCAAGTAATGTGCTCAAGGTCAAAGAAGAAGCGAGGAGAGAACCCACAGTCAGACCCGAGTCTCTCTGCCACTCCAGGGTCCACACTCGTCCCACCAACCCCAACTGAAGTGCACCGGTTCTAGCTTACATTGACCGGACCCTCCTTTCCTCACTCTGGCCTCTGTTTTAGCTGAAATGATACTTGTCCTCATTGTTTAAGTAGTGGTGTTCCAAATATGGTCCTGGCAACATTACAAATGTGAATTCTTTTTTTTTTTTTTAAGGTTTTTGCATGTGCTCTCACCATAGAGAGACAGTGAGACAGAAAGTGAGAAATCGCCCCATATAGCAACCCCTTCTCCTCCACTCTCCTTCTGGGATTTTGGGCACCCTTGTATATGCATCCAACACGATTTTCAAGCCACTGGGCCTTGAACTTGAACTAGGGATCTAGCACCTTAACTACTATGCCACCTGCTGGTCCTATGATACAAATTCTTATACTCCATCTTAGATCCGTTCCTCCCCAGCAATCTTTATTTTAATAAGTCCTTTAGGTTATTCTGATGTATACGAGAGTTTAAGCACCACTACGCTGATTTGAGTATCAGATATATGTTATTTGTAACTCAAGGCTTCAATTACGATGGTCCTTACCTTTTGATTGCATATTACTAATAGAATCACCTTTATTTATATTTTAGAGAGATTTTTGCTATAGGTTGCGTGTACTTGCTGGAGACAGAGAGGGAAAGTGAGAAATCAACCCCCAGGGGAATGGCCATGGTGCAGTCCTTTCTCTTCCACTCTCCTCCTGGGATCCTGGGCACATATGCACATGCATCTGGTGTGAGTTTCAAGCTACTGGGTCTGGGACTGAACCACAGTTGGCCATGTGGGAGCTCAGCACCTTAACCGCCATGCCACCTGCTGGTCCCCACGAAGATTTTTTTAAAGCCCTTTAAGCTATTCAAATGTGCTTTTAAGAGAACAGCGTGGGGGCCAGCAGGTGGCATGGGGTTAAGTCATGGCTGACCGTGGCTCGAGCTGTAGACCTGGAAGTTTGTTTTCTCACTTCTCTTTCGGTGAACACACATGCCCCATAACAAATTTAAACAACAATAATAATAATGATATGGAAAGTGAAATAAATAATTCCTCAAGAGAGAGAGAAGCAGCTATGGCCCAGTCTGGTGGCACAGTCCTAAATACACCGGACAGCAGTGCTGGCAGCCACATGGCTGACTACAGGTTTAGACTCCTTGTTTGACTTGAAAACATGTCATATGCTGTGCGTGGATCCCCAAGAGCCTAACAAGCCGGAGGACTGGGGAAAGGGGATTGCGGCATTATGAGACCCTGTCAAGCATGTGTCTATCGCTAATGAAAAATAAAAAGCAGGAACCAGCAGGTGGCGTGATGGTTAAGGCACTGGGCACTCCCACGTGACCTGATCAGGGTCCAAGTCCCGGACCTGGCAGCTTTCTCTCTTTGTCGTCAAATTAAAAATGAATGAATAAATAAAATTTAAAAAGAAAAAGAGGAAGCAGTTATGAAGGATACAGGAGGCTAATTCAGGAGTATATGTAAAGGGATGCATCCTTTTGAGTCAGGGCAGCCCATGGAGCTAGAGGCTTAGATCAGCTGGTCAAATAGCACAGGGCAGTGGGCTGAGGAGGAGCCCAGGCTTGCGGGGGAAGATTGTGAAATGATGAGTTCTGTTTTGGCTACTCCAAGGTCAGGCAAGTTGTGGAATATGGCAGAGGGAGAAGGCAGGAGGGCAGTCGGATAGGATATGTGGTAGTGGGGCTCTGGGAGAAAGCAAGGCAGGGAGAGGTCTTCAGCAGAGAGGCTGAAGGGGGTGCTGTTTCCTGGGGCTTGCTGTAGAGGGAGAAGGGAAGAGAAGGCTAAGGAAGAGGCTCCTCTGGCAGGAACTGGGAAGGGACTGGGGGGGGGGGGGGAGGCTGGTGAGAATTCTGGATTGCCAGGGAGAGTGGTTCAGGAGGTGACCCAAGGACCGGAAAAGCCAGAGGAGTACTGCAGAGTGGGTATAGGATTTGCAAGGAGGGAGTTAGACGGAGATAAGCTCAGTGAGAAGAGTCAGTGCAGGGGGGAGCCTAGGGTGCAAGGAAGGAGGAGGATCCCTAAAGCATGGAGTTGAGCCTAGCAGAAAAGCAACAAAGTGTAGACTCTTTCAAAGCAAGAAGCCAACCATAAGGGGACATAGGGTCAAGGGGATGTCTCTTAGAGAACTTCTGCAAGGGGCGAGCAGGTAAAAACAGCAGCTCTCAGACTGCTAGAATTTCCCCTTCCGGCCGTTCTGCAGCAACAAATAGCACCTAGGGCTGGGTGTGCCTGACACCTAAAAGCAGCCACCCTGGGGTCAGATGGTCTGGGTGGGTGCCACGTGGCCCTGGGCAGGTATTTTGCCTTTCTGTGCCTCAGGTTTCTGTCTATAAATTGAGGGTGATAATTGTTATAACTCTTACCAACTGTTACTTGCCAGGTGCTGTTATAAGCACTATGTTTCAAAAAGTTTGCCAATGGAACATATGGAGTAGAGTTTATTTGGGGGAAAAAATAAAATAAAATAAAATAGATGGATTCAAAGTCTAGCCTCAGTGACAGCAATCAGTAGTGTGCTGAACGACAGTACTGGAAGTCCATGACCAACCACTGGTTCAAATCCCTGGTCAAGTCAACCTGAAACACACTGGGTTTGTGTGAGTCTGCAAGATCCTGACAAGCTGGAGGGTGGGGGACGAGAATTGCAGCATGACGAGTCCCTAGTGAGAGTTCTCTTTTTTTTTTTTTTTGGAGAGATTTTCGCTATAGGGCGCGTGCGCTCGCCAGACAGACAGAGAGAGACATAGAGACAGAAAGCGAGAAATCACCCCCCAGGGGGGATGGTCACGCCGCAATCCCTTCTCCTCCATTCTCCTCTCGGGATCTTGGGCATGCACGCACACGCGCCTGGCGTGAGTTCTAAGCCACCGGGTCCGGGACACGAACCGCGGTCGACTACGTGGGAGTCCAGCGACATAGCCATTACGCTAACTGCTGGTTCCCTCTAGTGAGAGTTCTCTTGTGCACGCAGGTGTGTGCATACATGCACATGCTACCATGAATATTAACTCAAAACAAAACAAAACCCTGAAGTCCATGTCTGGTCTTGTCTTTTCTTCTTCTTCTTCTTTTTTTTAATCATGGACATGTACTCTCTAGAAAGAGACAGAGAAACAGAGAAAGCACCTCCCCAATGGAGTGCGGTCATGCCACAATCCTTTCTCCATCTCCCCATCCTGTCAGGATTTGGGGCTCTCATGTACAATGTGCTTGGTGTGCTTTTCCAGCCACTGGAGCTGGCATTCAAATGATAGGTGGTTACGAGGGATCTGATTCCCTTTACCAGGTTATGTGGCCAGCCCACAGTTTTTTCATAATATACGTTCTCCATGAACTTTTTGAAGACCCCTCATATATTTATCATTAGAGTCTTACAACAAGCCTATGAGGCGGTGGCTGTGCTGTGAGGATTAAATGCATCCATATTTATAAAGTGCTCAGAACAGTGTTTGGCACGGAGGAAAGGCTAGCTAGGTTTACAGTTACCACTATTATCATAATTCCCTCATTCTCCAGGTGCAGGGAAACTGTCTGCTGTTTACATCCTGCAGATGTCCCCAGAAGCTCCAAGAAGATATGAGGATTCCAACATGCCAGGCATGAAGGCCAGCTCCACAGAGAGAGGGATACAGCAGTGAAGCGACCCTGCCAAGACCACGGCCTGGCCATAGTAGGTCCTCGGCAAATACTTAAATGTAAGTGAAAGGCTGAAGTACCGGGTTCGAGGCCTTCTATTCTAACCCCCTACCCAAAGAATCAGTTCCTTCTAAGATTTCCCAACTAAATGGCCATTTCTCCCTGCTCAGGCAGTGGGGAGGTCACTACCCCGAGCACATTTCTTCCTGGATGGCCCTGGTGGACGGTGGTCCTGTCCTTTCTACTCTGTTTCCAGCTCTGCCCTCTTCCGACTCTGAAGTAGGTGAGCGCCTGTGAGCCTTCTGCTGGCCATGGAGGGAGGATTTCAGGGAGCATCTCTGTCGGCTCTCCCTGGATGACAGCAACAGCCTCCCAACTGGTCTCCCTGCTTCTGCCTATTTTTAACTCTAGACTCAGGGGGATCTTACAAAACATTACGTCTGATCTCATCCCACCTCCACCAAAAACCCTCCAGCAGCTTCCAGCTCAGTGTCAAAGCTGAAGTCCTTCCATGGCCCGCAAGTCCTCTACAAAGCTACCTTCCCCTGCTAACCAGATCTCCCCATCCAGAGCAACACACGTTGACAGTCACATCAGCAGTTTTTTGCTTTTATTGATCAAGAATTCTTTATAAAATCCACATACACGCACACATCCACACACACGCACACCAGACGCCTGCCCTGCTTTGGCCACCCTGGTCTCTCCCAAGATCAGTCAGTCCTTCCTGACGTCACCCAGGGGAAGCTATCCTGCAGCCCCTCTAGGCTACCAGTGAAGGAGCAGAGAGAAGGAACGGAGACCTGTGCCCCACCCGTGGGACAGCAGGTGGTGGTGACAGGGAAATAGAGTCATCTTCTTCCCTTAATTTGAGCTCCCTGAGTTGCCAGCTTAGGCCCTCAATGTCATAGCTGCTAAGGCCTAGGGTCATTTGCTGGTTGGATCTTCCCCAACCCCACTTTGCAAATTAGAAACCAGGTCCCAAGAGCGGTGTACATTGTCCAGGGTCACAGTGCTAGTCAGTAGCAGAGCAGGGACAGGAACTCAGCTCCTCTCGGCTTCCAGGAGATAGATGTGTGAGAAGTGGGCCCTGCTCAACCCTCAGGACAGCCAGGGCCTGGGCAGCCAAGTGAGCAGCAGGGTCTGGCCAATGCTATAAAGGTTTGCCAAGGGTGCCTTCTGTGACGGCCCGCGTGGCTTGCTCAGGTATGGAGCTCGGATCGGTCAGGATGCTGGTAGATGTGCTCAGCTGGCGAAGGGAGTTCAGGACAGCTGGGAAGAGAGAGATAGACACTCTGGGAGTTAGAGCCCTGTCCTTGGTTGCGGAAGCCAAAGGGATGGAGGGCGGTACCAGATGACAAGACTGCCAGTCCCTTCCTCTGTCTGCATGTCCTGGTGGCCAGAGGACCATCCAAGGACCATGCATGGGGGGGTGGCCAGAACCCTAGGCTGTGTTGAAGGCAGGCTAGATCTGAGGTCTAAGTAGGGCCGCCCCCACCCCCCCGGCCCCTGCCCTGGGGTCTAGATAGTCTAGCGGGCAGCTGGCTCACGTACTTGGCCGGAGAGCAGGCAGGGAGCAGTACTGGTCCAGCCAGGCTAGTGAGGTCTGGCGGAGGCTGTGCAAGCTGGCCGTGGACACCATCCCATTGAAGGATTCGAACAGAGGCCGGATGAGGATGCTGAACTGGGCCCAGGTCAAGGAGTGGGCCTGTTTGTCCAGCTGGTATCCCAACCTCACATGTCCTCCTGACTACTGACCCAAAGCAAGGGAAGGAAGGGCCTGGCCACTGTCTAACCTTGAACCCTAAGAACTACAAAGGCAGAGTCCCTGGCCCCCACATCCTATCAAGGCCTGTGCAGCTCTCTCAGCCTGTCTCTGGTTCCTCGATGGCCCTTCGGTGCCGGACTGTCCTCCATCCAGGGATTCTGGGTTCCGGCTTGGTCTTCCCCAGGTCTCATACTACTCAAGAGTTGAGGTTCTCTCAAACTGCCCTTGGGCTATCTGAGGGCTGTGGCTCTTTTTGTCCAGAGATCCCTCCCTCGGTTTTCCTCTCTGCTCCTGGCCCATTATTGAGCCAGGACGCTCAGGATCTGGAAGCAGAGGGCAGAAGCAGGGCCCCTTCCCTGGAGCAGCTCTGAGTCTGCAGCCCACCTCTGCTCTGCCCCTCAGGCTCAGCCCACCACTGCCCCTCTGGCCACCAGGCCCCTGATCTGGGTGAGGATACCACCCAGAACTTCCAGTTGTGCAGTGTACGGGTCCGGACGTAGTCATCAAACATGTCTCGCATCTGGTCAAAGCGCTGGTGGGTGATGGGCACCCCCGTGGCAGGCAGCTGCTGCTGGCACAGGCTGGAAGCACGGGCAGGTCAGGGCTAGGAGCAGGTGGCAGGGCCCGTTGCTCCAGCCTCGGCCCATCCCCTGCCTACTTAATGGCGGCGTTGAGTTCCTCGATCTCATCCCGCAGCTGCTGGGCCTCCTCCTGCATGGTCGCCCGCTCCTGCTGCAGCATGAGGATGTACTCGGCCGTCTTCTGCAGCGTGGTGGCTTTGCTCACCTGCGGGCGTCACCCGTATGGGCTCAGGCACCAGAGGCCTCCTGCTTGGGGACCCACAGAGGCCCTGGGGTGGGACGGAGTCCTGTGATTCTGGGGGGGGAGGGGGATGCCCGCTGGGCTGGGACTCACCTTGAGGCTGGGCTGGGCATTGAGAGTGCTCACAAGGCTGTGAAGGGTGTCGAACCCCAGTTTGATATTGAAGCGCCGTTTTTGCTCCGCAGAGATGTGTGTGATGCGCCGGTTCTCAGTCTTGGGGAGCAGACGGTGGAGTAAGCCTAGGAAGGCGCCTCTGCCCCCAGGAACAAATCAGTCTTGGGGTGGGGGATGGTGCCTACCTTGCTGTTGTCTGGCCGGCCCCGGCTCAGGGTAGGTTGTGGGGGAGAGATGCGGACACTCAGAGTCCCTGGGCCTGGCATGGGGTTGAGCTCCCCTGACAGCCGCCGCTCACTGCCTTTGGGAGGGACAGACAGACCCCCAGACAGACAGACAAGGGGGAAAGGGTCCCATTGCCCTGTCCCTCTCATGACCCCAGACATGGCTCCCCCTTCTTCCTTTTCCTCCCTCCACCCACCAAGATCCCCCAGTCCCTGTAACCCTTCTTTACCGCTGGGTGCTGGGGGCGAGAGTCGCTCCACTTTGGGGACAATCAGGGGCCTGGGAGGTGCCAGTGTAGCTGGGCCTGGAGGAGGCCGGGGTGGTGTGGGGGCCAGAGTCGGGGAAAAGAAGGTGCAGGGGAATTCAGGGGCCATCTCTTGCTAGAGTAGAGAAGAGTAGAGAGTTGAGATGAAGCCCCTGGTCTCACCCCAACCTCCGGGTGCCCACCATCTTACCGGGG